TTTATATGTTGTGATTTTTTTTTTTTTTTTTTTTGGTCTTAATTTTTTAGTTGCTTATCGCTTTCTTAAAACGTATGTTTTAATAAAATTTCAGGGAGGCACATTTCAGAGCAAGTGTATTCTTCCTCATTTAATTGCATAACTTTGGTAATAGATGCAGTGAAAGGTCTGAAGTTGTACCCCACGTCCCTAACGTCTACTTCTCCTCATGCATTACAGTATTATGCACTGCAGATTCTGGAAACGGTTATTAAAACGAGATGGAAGATTCTTCCCCGCAATCAGTGTGAAGGTAAGCCTGCTTCCTCTGTCATCTTTTATCTTGGGTCATCTTATGTTAATCCACAAACCAAAAGCGAGTTGCCATTGAACATGGTCTTGCATACCAATTCACCCCACATTGCATTTTGCTGTCTTGTTCTGTTTTGCTAAAAATCTTGATAAAATGTCATCTTGTCAGTAAGTCTGTTTCCTGTCTAATGGTTTAAAACGCTCTAATGGATTTATTTGCCTGATTTTTTATTATTTTTTTTTAAAGCTTTGTATTTGTTAAGTGCAAAAGGCCAGTTTTTTATGGAATTAGTTTAACAGCTTAGACATTCTTAAGATTTGTACTTGCCTTCATGAAATTCTTATTTTGTCATCGCTGCATGCTTTTGCTAAGTGTCATGTGACCAGGTACCTTGCAAAGCCTGCTGGTTTGTGCGGCATTTGGCTAGGTCGAGTCTATGTTGAAATATTGCTTGAGGCTAAGCATCTGATCTTCACCGTATGGCATTGAGAGAGAAACCATCGTGTGTTTGGATCCCTATCATCTGGGCCAGACTGATTATAGAGACATGTTGTGTTGAAAGGGAACAGATTCGTATGAAGGAAAGCTATTCTGTCTGAGACGTGAAACAACCAGTGAGTTTGATGGCGACAGGGCTCTACGTCTAGAGACCTGAGAGTGCTCTGTGGCGTTACTGCTCAGTGTTACAGTGTGGGAGTGTGATTCTGTGATGTCTTTGTCTACCAGTGCCCCTGTTTTACGGACTTGGTGTTATTTATCTGGCTTCATTTGGCAGTCCTTATGTTTGTAGTCTCCAAAGCAAGGTTAGCATTGCAAACAGCCTCGCTTTCCATTCGTCGAACGTAGGCTTAAGATTACAGATTTTGTCTTACCATTGGTGGTTTCACACAAAGAGAAGATTACCACAATCCAACTGCTCTTTCTTTTGTGCCAAATTGCTGTAGAACTATTCTGTCTTACAAGTCTGTTGCTCATCTCTCTGCAGCTGTTTGGCTGGCAATTGCGAAGTTGTAAATTGGCCTTAAGGTATCCAAGCAACATCCTTATCTTAACTCCAGTTTGACCCTTTAGTAGCTTTGACCTTCTGTCAGTGACATTCTGGTTTTGTGCAAGTGACACAAGGTCTCCCAAGTGCACTCAGTTTCTTGCTGAAATTGCATCCTTTCATTTTGTCGGCACAAGGTTTTAAATGCATAGTGCTGCACCATTGCCAAATGACCACTTGGGGTGTAATCTGGAGCTTGATTTTTGCAAGTCTGGTGTCTTGGTGGTAATCCTGTAAGTACTGATATTGGGTGCCGTGGCTCTTCCGGGGTGTGGCTGCTGTCAGTGCTGTTCAAACCAGTTGGTGCTCCCTGTCATTACTTCTCATCGATAGGTGCTTTGCCTATAAACTCTTATCTGCATCTGTCTACTGTTTTGCCTAAAGCAATTTTCTTAACAGCTGGTTGTTGATTGTTGCAGAATTTTTACAGATTTTTTTGTCAACTGTTTCACTTCTAGTATTTTTTTTTTTCACTGATTCAAATGTTTCGCAGGCTAGTTTCTACTGTACATTTTGATTGTGCCAAACTGTCAGCACTATTCAGTGACATTAATGTCCGACCAGTCAGCTTGTACTCCGATATTAGTCACTGACCAATCAGAGTCATGATCCTCAGTCCTCCAGGGAGCACAGAGGATTGACTTGGTATTCGCTGCCATTTAATTCTCTACGAGTTGAACATCTGTGTCTTCTCTGTTTCACTCTGTGGTCCTGTTCCAAGCTGCCTCACCACTTACTATTAAGTACCCTTCCTTTCTGGCTTGTCAAGTTTTGATGCATGTATAAGGATATGATGATGTGTAAGTATTGATCAATATCATGAGCTCTTTTCCCCATTTTAATCTTGGCTGAGGCAACTACCAAATGTTTCTTTCTGCAGGTGTTTTACTTACAAAAGACCTCCGTCTTCTGACTGTAAATGTGTATCTGTAGATGTGTATCTGTAGATGTGTAAGAATGTAAACCAGAGCAGAGGGTCCTTTGAAATACCCTTAGTTCTCTTGAGCCCCAACCTGTTTACTATGCTTCTTACCCAATAGTTGATTTTCACATTTTGCAGTGCCTTTTCTGTGTCTTTGAACAGAGTTGCTACACCCAATAAGTGTTCATAAGATTAAATTTTTAGTACTGAAAATTTCTCTTTCAAGGTTTGTATTGCTCTAAAATTTCTGTGCGCACAATTTTTTCTGCTGGGCAACAACCAGGAAAATCATTTGTTAAATACTAAAATGTTTTTAAATGTTGGTTTTTGTTTGTTTCTAGGAATAAAAAAATATGTTGTTGGTCTTATTATCAAGACCTCGTCGGATGCTACGAATGTAGAGGTACGTTTGTGCAGTAGTAATTCATTTAATCCTGAATTTAGACCATTTTTTAATGTAAATACTGCAAAATGTGTTTTAGTCCACTGTGTAGACATTGTTTTTTTTGTCTGTTAAACAGAAGGAGAAGGTGTACATTGGAAAGCTCAACATGATCCTGGTCCAGGTAAGTGAGGGTTTGTTACATTTAATAGAAATCAGATGGTTACACAGATCCACATTCCAGCTAAGGAGCATGGACTTTATGGCCTGGAGACTTTATCAGTCATTGATACCATCACTTAAGCAGGAATCAGATGACAAAACCAAGTGTCCCATGTGGCATGGTTTAAGACTGTTCTTTTTTTGTGCATTAGAATATATGGTCGATGAATGCCATGCAGATGGGTAGATTTCAGCATGAGTTTTGAAATGATTGCATGGTAGTAACCTGTAGCCACCTGGGTTGTTTAGATCTTGAAGCAGGAGTGGCCGAAGCACTGGCCGACCTTCATCAGTGACATCGTGGGAGCCAGCCGCACCAGCGAGAGCCTGTGTCAGAACAACATGATCATCCTCAAGCTGCTGAGTGAGGAGGTCTTCGACTTCTCCAGCGGCCAGATGACGCAAGTCAAGGCTAAGCACCTGAAAGACAGGTGGGTTACTTGCATGAATCGGGCTTCGAGTGACATGAGGATGTAGTATCTGCTGTAAGGGGGAGGGGGATATTGGCGTTACCCATGTGTTTATGGAAGAGATCCCTTGAGATTAATCCTGTAGTTTTTAATTGTCTAATTGTTTCTAAAATTGTTTTGTATTCTTGTCAGCATGTGCAATGAATTCTCGCAGATATTCCAGCTCTGCCAGTTTGTCATGGTAAGTATAGGTTATTGTTGCATCGTCCATGAAGCGACGCATTCGGGATTATCTTTATACATTCCTAATCTTCTGTAGCAGACATTTTAATATTGATTTTTTAATTTTTATTTTTAACAGGAAAACTCGCAGAATGCCCCACTGGTCCATGCCACACTGGAGACTCTGCTGCGGTTCCTGAACTGGATTCCCCTGGGTTACATATTTGAAACTAAACTCATCAGTACACTTGTGTATAAGGTACCACACGATTGATTACAATACAGTATAAGACTCCTAAGGCTACTAAGTATCAGCCTGGCATGTCACCGTTACATACGTAGTGAAGTTTCTTTCATATTAATACCATCCTCCTACAAAGGCGTACTTGCATTGGATTGCTTGCAAGTGCGTAAGAACTGGAGGCATACTGAAATGAATGATGAGCTTATAAATGCTTTCTGCGCTGGCAGTTAGTGAGTCAACATTCATACATTTCGAAGCGTGCCATAAACTTAGGAATGAATAGATCTTTGTGAGCAAATGTGTAAATGCATTGGCAAAGACTGTAACCCATTTAATTAATAGTGTGCTGATTCTGAAAATGCATAGCCGCTATACTTCCCCCTAAGGAGCATTGCTGGTGTCTGGAAGCCATATTAATGAGAGCAGTGCTGTTGGGCGACTGTGCCAGTAACCCACTCCCTGGTGTACCCCCCCAGTTTCTGAATGTGCCCATGTTCCGCAACGTGACCCTGAAGTGTCTGACGGAGATCGCGGGCGTGAGCGTGAGCCAGTACGAGGAGCAATTCGTCACACTCTTCACTCTCACCATGATGCAGCTGAAGCAGGTACTGCAGAAGCGGTGCACCGTCTGCTTTGGGTGTGGTGTCGGCTGCTGCGTGCTTTGCGTGTTTGCTGCTCTTCCACGGCCTCGTGGTGCAGTGACCAGCTTGACTTTAATTAGATTTTACACCTGTGAAAGTGGAGCATTTTGAGAGAAGGTGGGAAAGTATCTTCTGAACAAATAATTGATGCATGGTTGAGTTAGTCAATGGCTGTGAAAATGAATCCATCTGTCTCCGTAGATTTTACAGGTAGACCTGTGGAATAGTCTGTGTCCCCTGGCTGTCTCTCCTAAAATTGCTCTCTCCCCGTGACGCAGATGCTACCTCTGAACACTAACATCCGCTTGGCGTACTCCAATGGCAAGGATGATGAGCAGAACTTCATCCAGAACCTGAGCCTCTTCCTGTGCACCTTCCTGAAGGAGCATGGCCAGTTGATCGAGAAGAGGCTAAACCTGAGGGAGACCCTGATGGAGGTCAGTTTCCTGCAGCCGTGTAATATAGCTGTAAAGGAACTCCAAGGTGGTCTGCAGCGTGAAGCTTTTGTAGAACAGCTGTTGTTGGGCCCTTGGTAGGAGTAACATGAAGTAACATTTTATAAAATTACTGAGCCCTGTATATGTATGAGTAAAGAATGCTGGGTGACTGTCTAGCTTCACTATTAAAGGTCACTACTTGGTACACTGATGCTTCCCAGGTCAAGGTGCTGGATGGGTGCTGCTGTACTAGTTATGTTGAAAACTAAAACGCTGTACGAGTCGGCAAGTTAATTGCTATGGATAAAAGCACCTAGTCAAAATACTTTGCGTCTTGTATAAGTTAGATTGGTGTAGTAGTACTGATTACAATAGTTGGCGATTGGGAGCAGCCTCACACGTCATCTCCTTCAGCACAGACAAGGATATGCAAACATTCATATTGTTTCTCTCTTCATCCCCCAGGCTTTGCATTACATGCTTCTAGTGTCAGAGGTAGAAGAAACGGAGATCTTCAAGATCTGTCTAGAGTATTGGAACCACCTGGCAGCAGAGCTGTACAGAGAGAGCCCCTTCTCCACCTCCACATCCCCACTGCTTTCTGGGAGCCAGCACTTTGATGTGCCCCCCCGCAGACAGCTCTACCTACCTGTGCTCTCCAAGGTGAGCTTACCCAGCCGTCGTCAGTGGCCTCCGCCCCCAGGAGCTGGTCCTTCTGTCTCGCCTTATTGCATCGTCCCGATTCTGGCAGGTCCGTCTGCTGATGGTCAGCCGCATGGCAAAGCCTGAGGAGGTGCTGGTGGTAGAGAATGACCAGGGAGAGGTAGTCAGGGAGTTCATGAAGGACACCGACTCCATAAACCTCTACAAGAACATGAGGGAGACGCTCGGTAAGTCCCGGCTCAGGCTGTGTTCCTCACCATGGACGTGTGAGTCTGACCACCAGAAGAAACACGCGCACACATACGCACACACAGCCCATCCGGTGACAACGCTGCGTTTTCTGCCCTGCAGTGTATCTCACACACTTGGACTATGCGGACACGGAGCGAATAATGACAGAGAAGCTACATAATCAGGTTAACGGCACAGAATGGTCCTGGAAGAACCTCAACACTCTGTGTTGGGCAATTGGATCCATTAGCGGGGCTATGCACGAAGAGGATGAGAAGAGATTCCTGGTGACCGTCATAAAGGTACTTCTGAATCCCCCTACTCACTCGTAATTCACAGTCCTCCCACAAAGGTGCACTTACATTTGTTTGCATGTAAGTGCATAAGAACTGGAGGGATATTGACGTGAATGGTGAGCTCATATACTTCCTGCTCTAGCAGTTGGTAATTCGGCATTCATACATTTTGTCAATCCAATGTGCAGCCTTTTGGGGGAAAGGGGATTTTCATGGTTTTGGTTTTGAGGTTTTGGATGATGTGAGTTCATGTTATTGCAGGACCTCCTGGGACTTTGTGAACAAAAGCGGGGCAAGGACAACAAGGCCATCATCGCCTCCAACATCATGTACATCGTAGGCCAGTACCCTCGCTTCCTGCGGGCCCACTGGAAGTTCCTGAAAACTGTAGTTAACAAGCTCTTTGAATTCATGCATGGTGAGTGAAACCATTGTACTGGTTGGAATGACCTTTCTGCACAATGGAGTTGAGCTGAAAGTCAGGATTCGGTTGTAGTAATTACACATATGCTCCAGATGTCACTACAGGTGGGACCACCCCTTGTGAAAGCTTTAAGATATTGCTTTGGTTTTGCAGAAACCCACGACGGCGTACAGGACATGGCATGCGACACCTTCATCAAGATTGCACAGAAATGTCGGCGGCATTTTGTCCAAGTGCAGGTGGGCGAGGTCATGCCCTTTATTGATGAGATCCTGAACAACATCAACACAATCATATGTGACCTTCAGCCTCAGCAGGTGAGACACACCCCATCCCATCAGGGCAAAGTCAGATGGCAGATGCACTGGCACCGTGCTGATGGGTGTTCTGTGCCCGACTGCTTCTAGGTCCACACGTTTTATGAGGCTGTGGGCTACATGATTGGGGCTCAGACGGACCAGGCTGTCCAGGAGCATCTTATAGAGAAATACATGCTCCTTCCTAACCAAGTGTGGGACAGTATCATTCAGCAGGCAACTAAGGTGAGGCTCATCTTTGCAGGTTTTATACGAGAGAGTCTACTTCCCCACAGTTCTGTGTTTCATAATTATATATGAATACGTTTCACGTTGAACTGAGAGAGGCCAGGCTGAAACTACAGTGATTGGTTAATAATGAGCCATCATTGAGAAATAAAATAAGCCGATTACTAAAAGATATTTGGAAATGCTTTCAATTCCATCTTCTGTACAGAACGTGGACGTTCTGAAGGACCCGGAGACTGTGAAACAGCTGGGGAGCATCCTGAAGACCAACGTGCGGGCGTGCAAAGCTGTCGGCCACCCCTTTGTCATTCAGCTGGGCCGTATCTACCTGGACATGCTCAACGTGTACAAGTGCCTCAGCGAGAACATCTCCGCTGCCATCCAGACCAACGGTAAGCCGGGGCAGGTCTGGGCTTATTCAGTGAATCCGTAATGGGGTCCTTTATGGTGCCCTTGCAGCATGTGGGAAATATTACACCCCCCCCCCGGTGTACCGGGTATTGTCACTCCGTGAACACCAGCCAATGGATTTCATGCGGTACTGCTATTTATAGAGGAACTTGGAAAATCTCCCAATGAATGGTTGCCTTGAACTAATGAGTGACTCTGCGCCATGTTTAATATGGGTATGTTTACACTTGATTGACATACCATGATATGTGGACTTTTAAAAAGGTGGTGTTCTGCCCGCAGGCGAGATGGTCACGAAGCAGCCTTTGATAAGGAGCATGCGGACGGTTAAAAGGGAAACACTGAAGCTGATTTCGGGCTGGGTTAGCCGCTCCAATGATCCACAGATGGTAAGTCCTTTGACTGAAATGCTTCAGAATTCCACTTGTAGCTTGTCTGGGGGATGTGGGGCTGCACTATGTAATTCTTAGTCCAAGAAAACTTCAAGTATATCAGCGTTGAAACCAAGTTTGAAGTGCCGTTGGTTCAATCTTGTTTTTCAGACTGTTTTAATTAGCCTATGTTTAGGAGTCTGTAATGTCCACTGTGTGTTTGTTTCTCTAAACCGTTACATTTCGGAATGCTGAGGTATTCTGGTTACACGTCTGAGGCTGTTTGCATTGACTCGTGTGCCCGTTTTGTTTGCAGGTCGGTGAGAACTTCGTACCACCGCTCCTGGATGCCGTCCTCATCGACTATCAGAGGAATGTCCCAGCAGCCAGGGAGCCAGAAGTCCTCAGCACCATGGCAACCATCGTCAACAAACTGGGCGGACACATCACTGGGGAAATCCCGCAGATATTTGACGCAGTGTTTGAGTGCACCTTGAATATGATCAATAAAGTGAGTTGGCCCTTTAGCGCACAGGACCTCTCACATCGTCCTCCGTGACTCCAGCTCTCTGACCTGCTCCTCTTCCTCAGGACTTTGAGGAGTATCCAGAGCATCGAACACACTTCTTCTATCTTCTGCAAGCGGTCAACTCTCACTGCTTCCCAGCCTTCCTGGCCATTCCTCCAGCGCAGTTCAAGCTAGTGCTGGACTCCATCATCTGGGCCTTCAAACACACCATGAGGAACGTGGCGGACACTGGTGAGCCGGCCTGCCTTTAACTGCATTCAGCGTCTTTATGTTATTATTCATCCGTCCATGAATTTGAATCGGGAAGAGTGGCAGGATTAGTTATGTAACTCTAATCCTAAGGCTGTCTCCCTGTTTGCTCCCAGGTCTTCAGATCCTCTACACTCTGCTCCAGAACGTGGCCCAGGAGGAGGCTGCTGCACAGAGCTTCTATCAGACCTATTTCTGTGATATTCTGCAACATATCTTCTCTGTTGTCACAGATACATCTCACACGGCTGGTGAGGGAAGATCTCTGGTCTAGGGGTGGAGGGATAATTGGCAGGCATTAGATTTCCGTTTTTGGGGCTTTTGCATATGACCCCTATGTGGTGGTTATGCTGTGCTTCTCCTTGTAGGTCTGACGATGCATGCATCGATCCTTGCGTACATGTTCAACCTGGTAGAGGAGGGGAAAATTAGTACCACGCTGAACCCCACGAACCCAGTCAACAACCAAGTGTTCATCCAGGAGTACGTTGCCAACTTACTCAAAACTGCGTTCCCACACCTGCAAGAGTGAGTATCTCCCCTGCAAATATTTGAGGGAACGGTTAGAAGAGTTCAGTTTGAGGAGTTGTTCTGGTTATCTGCAGTGCCTGCGATTTTGTGACCATCATCTCTCTCCGCTTAACAGTGCCCAGGTGAAGGTATTTGTAACAGGGCTGTTCAGCCTAAATCAAGATATTCCTGCATTCAAGGAGCACCTCCGAGACTTCCTGGTGCAGATAAAGGTGAGAGATCTTTTGTCAGATACGTTGTAGATTGCAATATTGATACCAATGCATCTTTTATGTATGCTGTCATAAAACAATAAAGAGTTTAAGTTTAGCTCAGGGGTGGGCAATCTTATCCAGGAAGGGCCATTTTGTATGTGGGTTTTCACTGCAACTCCCTAATTGGAGGACTGATTGGCTGAGGAGTCCTTACATGATACATCTGGGTTTGAACAGCTGACCTACAGGTTATCCCAAAATCCAGCATAGACACCGGCCCTTTGCGGATAAGATAGGCCTCCCTCGGTTTAGATGAACCCCCTGGAATACTGTTTGTATGTTGGCTCCATTACCTGCTTCTTACACGGGCAGCCCAGGGTGTGTAAATGGCGTGACGTCTCCTCGTGCAGCCCAGGGTGTGTAAATGGCGTGACGTCTCCTTGTGCACACACAGGAGTTTGCTGGTGAGGACACCACGGACCTATTCCTGGAGGAGAGGGAGGCCTCGCTGCGGCAGGCCCAGGAAGAGAAACACAAGCTGCAGATGTCCGTCCCTGGGATCCTGAACCCCCACGAGATTCCGGAGGAGATGTGCGACTGAAGGTGGAGTGTCCCGTCAGTGAAAACATTCAGCAGCGGTGGGGCAGGATGGGGGCCAGGCCCCGCCAGACTCAGCACCTGGGTGTTTGTCGACCAAAACAATGCCAATATGTAAATGATACTGTGTCACCCGGGGCCCTTTTTACATAGTATGCGTTTTATATGGAGATTTTTTGTGTAATATCTTTCCATTGTTAATTCAAGTTTATGTTTGGTCATCTTTATTTAGAGCTGCATGAGGTTGTTAAGGATTAAAGACATTTTAACTTCCCTCCTTCCCCTCCCCTTGCCCGTTTCTTTGTTTATATACGGTATATAAGAGGCAGCGCAAATGTCTTGTGAGACGCCCCGTCTCCAGTAGCCCATGTGAAGCGTCGGCTTCTAGCCGGACTGCATGGCCTGGGACGGAGCGGAGCCGGCAAGTGTGTCCAGCAGCCGCTCCTATTCGCACTGCAGGAGAATGTGAATTTTTGTAGATTATGAATGAAGGTCTGAATGATGCTGCTTCCCCCCCAGCCCACCCCACCCCCTTTTTGTCTGTGGTGTCAGGGCACAGGCGGTTGCGCTTGGCTAAACCCTATCCGTGGCTCAGCAGCGAGGTTTTTTTTTTTTTTTTTTTCTTCTTTCCGCGGCAAGATAATGTGCATATCATCCCTAATGTAAAGCAAGTTTAATACCATGGGAACATAAAGTTGTTTATTTTTCCTTTTTTTTTTTCTTCCTTTTTTTTTCGTGGGCGTGTGCGCGTGCGTGTGCTGTCGCTTAGCCGACATCAGGTTTTTGTTTTCCTCAATGAGGATTGTTGCTCATTTGTGAGCCTTCATTAAATCGAAGTTTTGAGAAAGTGGTTGAAATATTTATGGGTTACTGTCGGCTGCATCTTTATAACTCATGTTAATTCTGATGGCTTTCAAGATTGAATTGTACTAATTTACATTGTTTACCATGCTGTAGTGCTTCAAGAACACTACTTAGAGCAAAATAAACGTGGTTTACAGTTAATTTTGTATTTTTGCATTTTCATTTTTATCTTAATTCTATCCAGATAAACAAACAAGTGGCATCTATCCAGAACAAAACAATTTCCAGCGACCTAATCAGAAGAATGTATAAAATCCAAATACTGATCTTTATTAATGACAAAGTCTCCCTTCACTAAGTGTTACATTTTTTGTGAAACTTTTTGGATCTGATTAAAGTTGAGAGAATTTTATAATTCTGTCTCTGGCTTAACTTTATCATTTTCATTGGTTCAGTTGTAGCCCTTGAAATGGGCTTTGAACCTTTTGGACAGTTTTTAAAATGAAGTACCCCCTCCCCACCCAAAAAGGCCACCTGTATCTTGGAACGGCACTTACCTCTCAGGTCTGCTTGCCGTACTCTTGGTGGGCTATGTCCGGTCATATTTCATTAGCTTGGAACCTCTGCTAACATGACCAGCAACCCAGAATCGTGTGGCAGCTTTCCAAGGAAATGTGACCTGAGCCACCCGTGACCTCCTTTCGTGGGGGGGTGGGGTGGGGGCAGTGATCATTCGTGGAATCTATCTGGGGGGAGCAGATGAATCACAAACAGAAATGCTGGTCAGGAGCCAGTTTGTGGTCTTTGCTCCCCCCTCCCCACCTGAACAGGGCACAAGGTACTATAGTAGTAATTGCAAAATCCTCTGATTCAGTCTGAAATGCAATTTCTTGTGCACTGTAAAGCAGCTTCTAATGTTGAACCTGGGATCTTCCATGGGAGAAAAACTAGACTTTAACCAGAATGTCTGCTTTTTTGGCATCATTAATAATCTATCTTAGTAGCGTGAATTGGTAGGAATGACTAGCTTTGTGCGGAACTATTTAAGTGGTGCCCAGAATGTGCTGCTGGGCTCAGAGTACCGTGTGACTTATTGAGACCTGGGGGATGTCAGTCTTGCATCTTCAATTCTGTGTCTTATGTTCTAAGGAGCCTAATATGCCAACCTTATTTTAACATAACCCTAAGTGACCTATACTGCTGTCTAATGCATGATCTCTGAACCGTGTGTGTGCACTTTTCAGTCTCATTGTGGACCAGGATCTACTGGTATGATGCGGAGTTCTGAGTTGCGTGTGGGACTGAGATTTGCACTTCATGATCATTAATTATTCTGAAAGCGTCTCTGGAGAGTTTGAATCCGACAGGCAAACATTCGGTTTTAAAATTCAGTTTCAAAATGTGTGCGTGCAGTGACTCTACTGGGAGGTGCCTGAAAATGGGTCCACAGAGTGGGGCTTTGTGCATGCACAGGTGCAAGCAGTGAAAGCAAAACTTAGAGGGAAAGAAAACTCTATCTGGTTTATTATAAATCTATTGTGAAAGGACAGCAGATTTGAGTCATCCTAGCCGGCTAGTCAGTATCTGCACTGTAAATTACTCTATGGTGCTAAGGAGCATTAGCGAATACGCAGATAAGTGGATTGTAATGTGTTGGGGTTCCATTAAATGAGCACATTCTCCTAAAAACTGTCATAAGGTTGTGGGCATACCTTTTTACAGTATCTAACCACAGCATAAAATTAGTAAAATTTAGTTATTTGCTAGCAGCTTAACATTTAATGTCGAACAGCCACTTTCAAGTATTAGTAACACCTTCACACAAGAACAGGTTAAAAACAATTCCTGATGACTTTGGTGTCGCAGGTAATTGTGAAAGTGATACAGGCAGATTTTCCCCATATTTCTCTCAATTCCCTTCGCCCGGAGAACCTTATGTCGCAGAGCCGGTTGGAGGAAAGTGACTGGAAATAAGCTGGAAGAATTCCATACACAAGATCAAACTTGCTTCTAAAGTGATACAGTGGCCATTGCTAAAGCAGTGAACCCAATGGACGTCTTTAAATGGCACCCTCAACTTCAACAAGGGATATATGAACCATGAGTATAAGCTTGACACTCTAGGAAAGTTTCAGCTCTGCATTTATCTTACTCTCTTTCTCCCCTCTTGTCGCTGGTAACATATACCAGGGTTTGGAATGTAACACTTGCGTTGGTGAAAAACGACACGTGCCACCTGTGACTACTCTTTGGAAGTCAGCCGGGCTCCATTCCATGCCAAGGCTGTGCCGATGCCCACTCAAAGGGGCAGCTCCTGCCAGCACATTATTCCACGAGGCTGCCGGCAGTGACTGCTCTCTCCGGCCTGAGTCTACCTGAGGGCCTCCCCTTACAGCCACAAGAGGACGCTCTTTAACCACCAAGCCCCAAAGACTGAGGAACACTTTCAGCAGAAACCTGTGGTTGCCCAGTGACTCGCAGTACAATTCAGAACCAGAGTCTGGAAGTGTTGTTAGAGGAGGAGGTGATTTTTCAAAAATAATTATATTATTACTTGTAAAGGGCCCCTGATGATCTATAATTGCAGAAGGTCAAAGATATGACTGCATCTAACTCCAAGACCTACATTGGCAGGCAGTCCTGGCATTTGTTGCACAGATTAATTCCAGATGTGACTAAAAACAACTGCTGAAAACACTGCAATTGAAAACAATTCACTGGATAGGAAGTCATGGCATCATTGTACTAAAATACTGTACATTTTCTCTGCTTTTTGAAATTAGTCTTTGTTCTCCTGTCACACAGACGCCCCCAACGTTTGCATTAAGGCCACTTAGTCACATACAGAATTTGGATCAGCCCGTTTTAGGCTAGTACTATAATAGCAATCTCATAAACTCCGCCCCCACCGCGCACAGAAATTCTGAAATGTCAGATACTGACTTGCAAATGACGCTATACGTGATTAGCAAATGCAGTCGTTTGACACAGATTACAAGGGCGCATCATTTGCTTCACAAATGACGGCTGGCGGTAAGCTTAGTCCCCTGGGTGAGTCACGTCGCGTTTTGAAATTTCTCCATCTCCGCAGAGAGAGATTCAGATTGGGAGACTTCCACGGGAAAAGGGTCTTCCTCTTCGCTTGTATTTCACATGCGAGTTTGATGTCTTTTAACAAAAAGACGCGGGGTTTAGACATGGCTTCTGTAGCGTTTGTTCACGCTGACTCACCGGTAACAGCGTCAGCATCGGCTCCTGCAAAATGCAGCGTCACGAGGGGGCTGCAGCACTAGCGCTCGAGCAGAGCGAGTCATTGCAGCGCGCTAGATTTGACACGCGCACCCAAGAAATAAGCTATATTTAGCTTCGGAAGCAGGTGATTCCCTCTGATAAGAAATGTAGAGTTTGCTTCCCTCGGTGTAATCCGTGCAGTAATGTATCTACGCAGGGAGCTACCAACAACACGGATAACAGTTTGTTTCCCTCTGGACCTCCCCCATGGATGTCTATGATGGTTCCTGCCGCCTCCTGTTTCTGCAGTTTACACGTGTATGTGTGTGTATCCTCCTGACAGCCGATTTATGTCCATTGTAGTGGACATTGTATTTTTGCATTTATTTTTTTCACTGATGTTGGGAAACGTATTTATTCTTGTTGTGCACTAAAGAGGACATGCTGTGAAATTAAAATAAGAATACATTTGAAAAAATCTAAATTGTAAGACGTCTTATTTCCTCCAAAGACAAATAACCTACAATTGAAGGACACTTTTTTCCTTGGGTCTTAGGAGGATATATATATATATATATATATAATGTGTGTATGTGCATATGTGCATATATATATAAATTGTACTTGTCCTTGTTGACATGCAATTAAAATAAATGCAACTAAGGTAAACAATGGGTTACTCACCTATTTAGTTGAAAGGGAAAAACAAATTTTAGTACATGGATTTAGTGGTAAACTTGGCATAAAAATGGCATTAAAGCAATATGTACAAAGAAATATCTTTAGACCAAATGTGTTAAACTTTCTGGAATGTTCTTAGGACACGCCTCTGCAGAAGGCATCACTCAAGGCTCTCCTAACACTAACTGGTTTAGGCTAGTACTCACACATTATTAATAGACCGATGTTACTACCTATATGAGTCATTCATTCTAGTTCTTGGAACCAAATCTTTTGTATTGACACACTGTCCTTTGGAAAACATAAAATTCTGCACTGCTAAGATACATTAATTATGAAAATCTGTTTGCATGCCTGCAGTCTTGCTGACCTTGAATCCTCAGTCTTGTATCCACTTATATTGCGCTTACATCTGCCAATCTGACAGACATCTAAAAGCAAAACTGCTTCACGGAAGGTGAAGTCTAGTTACAGGGACTCGACGTGTAAAATACATTTAGACAGAAATACATTCATATTATGGGTTAGTTGAACTTTACAGCTCAGTTCTATCATAGTTAATAATTGTTACAAAATTAATTTGTCAAAAGTATTAATTACAATGTTATAGATACTAACAGAGTTTTTAGAGGCCTTTACTGTTATTAAGTGCCAATCAGTTGAACTGTACTATGGCAACAAAATAGACTATTTACATAATACATAACACGGCAAACAATACCTCGATTTTCTGTAGCGTATTCTGGAAACTGAATTTCCTTTCAGCTCTGCAGCATCATTCAATAATTCAAGCAACAAACAAATCTCACCTTTGTGTGGAAGAATGCTGGATGTTCTCCAAGTGGGAGTCACATTTTTTTCCCTTCAAGTTATAACATTTTCTGCAATGCATAATGACTAATTTTGGTCAGTTTCCAGACTTAGACATGCATCGTTTTGTTCTTTAGTAGCATGGCTACAATTAAGACCTAGCCTCATATTTCAAGGTTGAGTTCCTGTTTTTCACACCAGTGAGTTTTAATATGACGTCAGCAGCTGAATGTCGTTTCCTCTACATTTTTCTCCAGAAAGTCACACTTCTCTCCGTCCTCCATCCCCAGCTGGGCCATCACGTTTTTCTGCTCACTTTGCAACTTTCTACAGAAACGCGGGGGAGGAGGGGGGGGAGGGGGGCGGCTGCATGGTGTGACCTGCATGAAATGACAGAGCCAACAACAGCACTACCTGAGCCGTGTACCTCCTGATGTTCTCCAGAGGAGCAGCTCCAGAGGTCAGAGGTAGTGACACTCATTCAGGTCCTGTCCATACATAACCTTATGATGCCGGTGACATCGATGACCTTGTCTTCCAAGGCAGATAAACAGAATGAGAACAACCACCCTCCCCACTTATAAATCGATTTTTTTCCCGGTATGTTTTTTTTTACTGTAAAACATTCAGCATGGCAGCTACTCCCTGGCTGCAAAGCTAATTCTGACAGCTTTGCTGTGATTTCTTTGGGGCTGCACTCATTCTCTGTGGTGTGACAGCAACATTTTCCATATATTCTACACATCGACTTACAAATGCTGAATGAAAACTCAAAAGTGTATTTCAGTTGTCTGACTTCCTACTCAATAACCGGGTCACGTTTTCACAGGCAGTCAAGATCTTTGCAAATATCATCCTCACAAACTACATACAGTAAGCACTAAAAATAAAGACAGAAACACACAAGACGTAACAGTGCAGTCAGTGGGTGCCATCTTTATTTTCAAAGTGGATCAAGGAATGTTGAGTCAGTCATGCGTTATTTGAATGTTGTACTGTGCAGTAAAGCTTGAAATCTCATATACTGTAGCCGCTGACAGCTCACACGCATGACTGTGGAAGGGGGTACTCTCCTAAGGTGGCCTAAGTATCTATGATGGGATTAATTTACCATTCCAGACCAGGTGGGAAACAAAGGATGATGTACAATAATGTTAATTCCAAAGAAGGGAAATCAAACCTATAATTAAGGTACTAATTAGAGGCTAGGAGATCTTGAGATACAATAGAGAACAATGCAGCCCCAATCCTGGGATCCATATAAATAGTAATCACTGAATTCCTAATGATCCCTCTTCCGACCTCGTATTCAGTATGGGGTTTTGGTGAGCCAGAAGCCTTGGAAATACAGTACGTACCTTGGAGAGCACGCCAGTCCCTCACAGGGCACCAACACAATCACACACTATGGGCTTACTACAGTGTGTCCTGCAGTGGACTGGTATCCCATTCAGCGTGTACACCACCTTTGTGTCCAGGGATGATTCTAGGCTTTTTTTTTTAAGGTGGGGGGCATTAGAGGGGCCATAATTCATACAGAGGGGTCAACCTCATCATTAGCCAATCATATGTTTTGAATTGATGTGGGGGAGGGGCACTCCGGGGGCCAATCAGCTTTCAGTTGGGGCCAATGCCTCAGTATACAAGCCTATAAAGCCCCCAGTGACCCCGAGGAGAAGTGCTTAGAAGAATCTTGCATTCTATGTGAACATGATCAGAATAACCAGCTGCAAACACTTTTTTTTTTAACTGTGTGCTACACCCATTTGAGAAAATGCGTTACTTTCATTACCTCATAATATTATTCGACATATGAGTAATTTAATAGACACATTCATTTACTCATAATTGTTTTTCCCTGAAACAATTTGGGTTCAGTCACCGTCTCAAAAGCACTATCATTATTGTTTAACTAACACTTGCATTTGAGGTACCTTTCGGTGTTTATTTAACTGGAGACTGTACAAGAGGAATGGGAATCCGTCTCCGAAGGATGAAACATTGCGGGACGTCCCTCCTGATAACTGATACTAGTATCTTTAAAGCAGCCGTATGTGTTCTTAGCTAATGATGAACCATTTCTGCTGTCTGGTGAGCAGCACACAGGGGTTTAAAGCAACAGAGAGATACCTTTGCAAAACACATCAACATAATACATATTATTTAACAAAAATACTGGAGACCATCAGGCAGTATTTTGCAAAAGTAAGAATAGAACAAATTCTTCTAAACATACAACTGCATCATTAAATTGTATGAAATCATTTACCTTGGACGCAATAATCAAATGAGTAGGTAATGTTTTGTATGATTTGTTGTAGAAATAAACAGTCACCAGAAAATCCTTCATTCCTCATCACTCCCTGAGACCCAGAGCATTTGCAGTCTCCAGAACAGGATAAACAGCTTTAGAAAGCAGGGGCTCATTATACCATAGAGTGCTCGTGATAATCAAATTAATTCTCAGCTTTCCACAGGAAGAGGATGTCCAGCCCCTGCTTCAGGAAACAAGGGTTCGAGGTGGCTAATCTTTGTTCATTATGCCTCACAGCTGCGACAGCCAACCAAAGCCCTCATTCGCTGCTGTATGATTGGCTTGACTGGGTACTTGAAAATCAGCTCTACAACCAGCAAACCATGAAAATCTGCTCAACCCACCTTCTTAGGATCAGTTGATGCAGGTGACCTAAGCTCTGGGTTTAGATCGGAGTTAATATTGACGTTTCGAGAGAGTTGAATGCATCCATATTTTAGTGGCTTAACAGCTTATCTGCTGAATGACTAAAGAAAGTATTCAGGTATCAAACTTGACTATCAAATATACGCATCAACATAATGAAAACAGGAGCATCCCAGGAAGATGTACAGTAAGATGCTCTCAGCTATCTTCATGTGTAAGATCACAGCCTAGTTGGCTCCAGCGTGACTAGGTCTATAGCTATGGTTCAAGATTGCTGACGCTCGAGTCATCAGAGCAGAAACAGCAAACACCTTGCTTTTTTCCATTAGTAATATTTTATTAATTTCTAAGACTTGTCATTCTTTCAGAAAGCCATACATGGCACTGGGGATAGACTGTCGATGCAGGCTAAGGGACAACCGGCTAAAGTCGATACAGCTGCACTCTGCTGCAACGTATGCTTCAGTGTCTCATTCCGAAATATTCCAGAGCATCTGGGTGAAGCCATCAGGTTTGATTTTCTGCTACGGCAAAGGCATTACAGAAAATTGAAACACGGAGAAGTGTAATGAAAACACAAGCGCAGATACAGCCTGGAAAGGGGAGGAGGTCCTGGTCTTTGGTGTCATTTCATAATTCATCTTACTCAATAAACTATATTCTTAAGTATCAAGACAAAAACATCTGCAGATCTTCAAACCAAGCATGTACAATCCTGAAACTAAATATTTTGGATGATGACATCATTTTTAAATGACTATTTGGATATAGAAACACCAGAAAGTACTTCAGGGATACCTTTCATAGACGACTTTAACGTAATATAATAGCTAATGGGTAACAGGCTTGGATAATCAAAGGGTGGGGGGCTCTTGAAGCCAGAAAATGATACATTTCAGGGATCACGGTGATTACAGATTTTATATTTTATCTTGTCAAAAATCATCTGTCGTGAAGATCGTCTTCATTCTCAACACTTAAGTGTTTCATTGTGCCAAATGCCTACAATCCAGTAAATAAAAAAATGAATACAGAACCTATATAAAAACACCCCAAAGAAGAGCAATTTTAAGTTTTATTAATGGAATATTAGTGCAATCTGAGTACATGACATCTTCAACAATTCTAGATACTTCAACCAGAGTATTGATATACTCAGCTTCAGGTTAGTCTGTTACATCATTACCTAAAACTAAACCAGGAGTAAATGGTCACAAGCTGAACCCAGTGATATACGTCTTCATAGAAGGGCTGAAAAAATTAAAAATAAAAGTAAAAAGACACATTTAAGTACGGAATCAGGATTAAACTGCGACCAATCAGTTTTGCCCATGTTTACACACCCGGTGATTTCCCATCATCTTTGTCCTGAGGGCGGTGGTATGGACTCTAGCTGTAATTTTAATCCCCAGTGCTGAGTTCCGGGGAGTGGTGCACCTCAGCAGGCCAGGGAGAAGATCCAGGAGAGAAGCTGATGGGAGGTGAGTGTTACAAAGTCACCTGAGTCGGCCTGAGAGGGCTGCGGGTCTCTGGCTGAAACCAGGCCATGCGAGGCAAAGCTGGGCAGGGAACCTGAGGACAGGGGATGGCCTGGGGGTGGAGGGGTGGGGGCGGGGGAGGAGACTGGGCCTCAGGCACCTTCCGGGGAGAGATCCTGGGAGCGGCTACAAGGAGCACCAGGCCACTGCTGGTCCTCCTTCTCTAGGTCGGTCTTCCCTGTGTAAGACGTGCCTTTGCTCTAAAGAGATCATACAGTGATTAAGGCCAAAGGGTGAACAGCTGGACATACACTGCAGTTTGCAGTAGCATGATTTCTCAGCCCTCGAAGCTGCTCAGACCTTCAAATGGTCCATGCTTACCTGAAGGTCTTTTCTGAGCCGGACTGTCTGCTGCTGGCCTGGGCCATGATCTGGGCCTCCAGTCTGGAGTAGATCCCTCCCGCATGCTACAAGAACAGCGGCAGACAGCAATCCTGCTCACATCTCATCTCCACTAGATCACATCGGTTCTGAGCAAAGTCTGAAATCCCACCATGTCTACTTCTATAGTGGAAACGAGCAGTTTGAAAATACTTAAAGCAAAATAAAACAGCATAACTCCAGTGATGCTCTTAGATAGTATTTCACAGCGTAAAAAAAAGCCTTTTGAAATGTCAGGGACTTGCCTCAGTTTCACTTGATTTGCTCTGGTCCAAGTCACCGAATCTGAGCTTGGTGAGATGCTCAACGATTTCAGCCATCCTTCGCTGATCTGCCGTGTTTCAGGGGGTAAAACAACAGCGTGTACGTTGGGGGTTATGGGCAACATTAGACGGTTTTTGTCTACAGCGGGGGTGGGGGGGGATACAACACTGGTCTTTCTTACAAATTTTGTCTCACCTTCTTCTCGTTGGGCGTCTTGGTTGAATCGCATGGAGCGGCTGCTGTCCCATTTTCTCTTCTGAACGCTCACTCTGTGAAAAATCAGCCCAGTGGAGATCCCACGTTACAGCAAGAGTTTTACACGCCAGAAATGGGCTGTGCCTCAGTGCCTCGGTGCCTCAGTGCCTCTCATCCCGTCATGCCACAGCAGGCATCTGACTCAAAGACATGGTTTTAACCCCAAAGCTACAAAAATTTACAAATACCCTTTCAGTAAGACTGCCTATGCTATCATTGTGACAGTGATTCAGAGCTCATTCTGGGAGGAACTGGGCGTGAGGTTAGGCACAATCACCTACATGGGCATCCAGGGAAATCTGAGTCAGGGATTCACGTGAACTCATGTCACTGGACTGCGGGAGGAGGAACGTTTGGAAAGAATTCCAGCTGAACCCTGTAAAAGACCAGGTGGACTCACGTGAACGGCGTGGTGTCCCGGGAAGGTGCCTAAAACAGGACAGGAGCTGCTGGTTACGGAACGGCACGACACGCAGGCCGAGAAGACACGCGAAACCACGGCGCGGCCATCCAGCAGAAAGGCTTCCCACCTTTTCTGGCCTCCGCTCCTTCCGCTGGAAACGGGGCGATGACATTTGCCTCTTCAGAGGTTTGCTCGGCCTCTTGGCTTTCTTCGCACCTGTGCACATTTCATCTTGTTCTTACCTAATGGAATACACCCTTGGCACTGTCTCCAGCAATCCGATTAGCAGCATGCATTATTTAAAAGCCCGAGGGGTCTACAAACATGCTGCACGCATAGCAAAAACTGCAGTGAGTGAGAAAAGAGAACTGAGTAATGCAAGAGTGAATTTTTACTAAATGACCCATGTATTGCATGGAAACATATATAGAGCAAAGTTCAAATATTTAACAAGGTCCATTTCTTTTCATGTAAACAGAGTGTTCCTAGCGAGTTCGGTGTAGCTGCTCTTAAATTAAAGTGAAAATGCTGCCACCTATTGGTGGATATACACCAGACCTTTTTCTTGTTTCTTGGAGACCTCCTCTTCATCCCCGACCTCATCCTCCGTCACCTCAGAGCCGGTGGTGTATTCTTCGTCTTCAGAGAGCAGGGACTGTTGCCTCTGCATGACGGAGCCAGGTGTTAACTAGGCTTACTGGAATCCAGCAGTGTCCCACAGGATCTTTCACATTCCATAAATACTGCTCTGAACTTTTTTTCTGACGTACCAGCTGTAAGCTCCAGTTTTTCAACAGTGAAAACTGTAAACATACAAAAAAAAACAAAATTAGAGATTCAATTCCTTTAGAAACGTAAAACTACCAACTAATACATATTAAACTCACATAATAACTCACACAATCTTTAATTCCAAGACAAACACAGGCAGGGACTGAAGAATTACAATAATCAATATGGAGTCCTCTGTATGTGACATACCCATAATGCCTCCCTAACCCCGTGGCCGTGACCTCACCGTTGTGATGTCGCCAGGTTTGGGAGCCCGTAGGGCACCAGGCTCCAGCAGGATGTCACAGTCCTGGGGTGGTTCCCCTCCGGCAGGGGGGTCCTCTGAACTGAGGTCACATCAAACCAAACACGGACACAGGAGAATCAGCAGGGAAATTTCCACAGCCCTTAGCTCTTCATTACTTCTTATTAAACAGCTGTCACTTTTTGCATTTTATATGATGCCGAATGACATGATAATACCAATTAAGTAAATGTACTTCAGTTTTAGGCCACAAGGAAAATCTGAGCCTTATTCATGTCCAGTTTCTGATCTGGTATGCAATGTGTCTCACTTTTATTGGTCACTGGCTTGGCCCGGTTGGGGTATTCTGGGTAAGCTTATTGGACGGCCCCCGTGACGAGTGATACATGTGGGTACTAGTGTGGCTTACCCATCAGGCACTTGGGAGCTGGGTATGCACACCGCCTCTCTGTGCAGGAGGAGGTCCTCAAACACTCGCGCCTGATCTGAACTCAGCTGGGGGTCACCGCAATCGGCCTCCTCAGCCACAAAATGATCCTTCACCTTACAGCCCTTACATGCATAGAGAGAGAAGGAAGGACAAGCGAAAATCAGCTCAGCGAGTATAACGGTATTTTTTGTTCATCATATGTTATGATGTAGCCATTAACCTGTATAGCTGTACAGGTCTTTGTCGACTTACGACTGCAGTCAGATCCGACTTACTGGTTGCATGGCGATTTGGTCGTAAGTTGGCTCTTTATTTTCTACGCAAAAATGATCATAGGTATAGTATACTATATATTAATAAAATTACATCATCTTTAAGTTATATTGTTTGGTGATTTTAACCTTTTTATCACCATTTTCTTAATTCATTGCTGCCGGCAGTTGGCGTGAAAACATACACTCACACTACCAGACATAGTGCAGTTGTGACGGCATATTTGTGGTCTTGGAGCAGTTGTAAAGTAAATCAGTCGTAAGTCGCAAGTCAACGACAAGCTGTTCCATCATTCTGTAGGCTGGCTGCAGGGAGTCCAGCGTGTTTGTAGACTACCTTAGGCAGGCCGGTGGGGTCGAAGCGCAGCACCCTCTGGTTGCAGCAGGGGTAGAGGCCGGTCCCATGCCAGGTGGGTTCTGACCCCAAGGAAGGGTACACCACAGCTTCGGGGTGATATCTGCACTGTGACAGCTCGGTGCAGAGAAACGCCTGCCAGCAGAGAGTCTTATTACAACTCACACAAACCAATGCAGAGGAAGGGTAGTTAACAGTGATGGGCAAAATGATGCTTCATGAACCATTTGCTGTATTTTTTGACCCCACTAGATGGTGCTCTTGGCTTGCTTTGGGACATGCTTTGTGCCCTTTTATGAACAGAAAGCACCATCTAGTGGGGTGAAAAAATACAGCAAACGGTTCACAAAGCATCATTTTGTCCATCACTAGTAGTGAGTGTGTGGACATTCGAGGAAAAATGAATAATGTAACTGCTCCTGATTTTCCACCTGCATTACAGGGTGCAGACCTAACAGCCATTTGCCATCCAGATTTTTTAAACATCTACCTGGGGGATCAAAATAATAAGTGGAGAAACATGGTTAGTTTGTTCCTACTACCAGTAGGGCACTAGTAGGTGAGGGTAAATGATTAAATGTAAAAAGCTTTGAGGGAGATTAAAACCAAGAGCCATAAAATGACAATGCAACAGCCTAGGATGCACACCACCTTACCTGCCTGCAGGAGGCGCAGGTGAGGAAGTTCACAGTGCCCCAGATCCTCCAGTAGACGAGTTCCCAGGACTTGAGCTCCTCGTACAGACCATTGATGTAGTCATGGACATCCCAGTTCTTCTGCCTTAGGGTCAATGTACACAAAAGAGACATTGAAACGGGAGCCATTACAGCATTTTGGTGGAGGTGCTCTCTTTTCCAGTGAGGTACGATTACCTGCTATGACGGTATACAATGTTTCCAGTGGGATCGACGTTAATTTTTCCAGGGATGCAGGAAATCTTTCTCTCTGTTTCTTTGGTTAGAAGTTTATTGCACAAGCCGCACCTGCGGAGGGAAGGGTGATCTTAGAGAGGCCGGCGGAGGGAGCGCTTAGCTTTTCACTCCTGCGGCTGAACTCACCTGTACAAGGTAGACGCATTCCCTGGGGCATCAGGATTCTTGTAATTTGGGTCAAAAAGCCTCTCGATTTTCTTCTGGAACAATTTACTAGATGATGAAAGAATATCAAAGATATTATTGCATATTTATTTCTAGACAAACCCAAAAAGAAGTATGAACAGAAGGATTGTGTAATTTCAAAGTAATTAATATAACATATATTAATATAAAATATCCATCCATCCATTTTCCAAACCCCTTATCCTACTGGGTCGCAGGGGGTCCGGAGCCTATCCCGGAAGCTACGGGCACGAGGCAGGGAACAACCCTGGATGGGGGGCCAGCCCATTGCAGGGCACACTCACACACCATTCACTCACACATGCACACCTATGGGCAATTTAGTAACTCCAATTAGCCTCAGCATGTCTTTGGACTGTGGGGGGAAACCGGAATAGCTGGAGGAAACCCCACGATGACATGGGGAGAACATGCAAACTCCACACACATGGAACCCAGGCGGAGACTTGAACCCAGGTCCCAGAGGTGTGAGGCAACAGTGCTAACCACTGCACCACCATGCCGCTCTCCCGGCAGCTATAGGTGCAAGGCAGGGAGCCACCCAGGGTGGGGTGCCAACCCATCACAGGGCACACTCACACATGCACGCCTATCGGCAATTTGGCAAATCCAATTAACCACAGCATGTTTCCAGACTATGGGAGGGGAAACCAGAGAACCCAGAGAAAACCCCACAACAACACAGGGAGAACATGCAAACTCCACGCACATGGAACCCTGCCGGAGACTCAAACCCAGGTCCCAGAGGTGTAAGGCAACAGTGCTAACCACATCTGCTACGGTTTTTTCTTTTTTCTTTTCTACATAAATCTAAATCAATCCAATGTAGTATAAACAGAATAATTGTATACTTTGAAAATGACACTAATATTAAATGCTGATCACCAGCTCAGCTACTCAACCCTGGACTGGCACAATGTTGCGGCGACTCATTCTGCCCCCCAATCACCTTTTGAACTTGTCTTTCTTGTCCTTGATCTCCTCGGCCTCTCTGTGGCTGAAGAGGTCTGCTATGCGCGTGCTGAGGTTGTCGTTAATGCAGCTCATGTTGCACGGCGTGGCCACGATGGCGCTCATGTGTCCGTGACAATAGTGCACGCATTCTTCAACCTGGGGTGAAGTGTCCATCCAAACCATAGCCATGAGCAAGTTCCTGACGGACTGCAATACTCTACTCTACTACAATACATCATGTTTACCCTAGCCATGTCGACATGCACACAAATCACCTCAAGCAAACATGGCCGCCCTCCACATGATTGCACAAAGAACGCACACTTTCATGCAGCGTGCTGTAGACTCGCAGCCTCACTACACAACACTTACTAAAGTCTCCATCTTCAAGAACTCGGAGGAGATCAGGATTGAGATCACATTGCTGGGTTCTGAAACCAACAAACACACACCACATAACACACTGCCAGATACCACTGTAGACAAAAAAAACAAAAAAAAACACGTGACAAAATAAACCAACGCAACCATCCAAAACAGTCAGTACAGGCCGAACCACTCCTGCATTCCTGACTTTTGGTACCTGCACTTTATTCCCACAAGGGGGCGTCACAAACCCCCAAGGGAGGAGTCACTTCCCTTGGGGCTTGATGTTTACCTAGTTTCGGCTTGTCCTCGCTGTCACTCATGTGCCTCTTGACGTAGTTCATGAGCCAGTCGAAAATCTGGATGTCGCAGTGCACCGAGATGTCCACGTCCTCCCAGCGCTGGGCGTTAGTGGACAGGTACTCAGCGAAGTACTTCATCTCGCTCACCAGGAGGTCTCGTGGACACATGAAGTCCTGCTTCAGGTTCTTTGCCTCGTCACAGACATGGATAACCATATTAGGCCTGTAAATAACAGAGAAAACCCTTATTATAATCCAGTAATTAATACAATATACAGTATAATAATAATACATCATTTGACTAATTTTCACAGTAATTTTCTATTGTTTTTCTATTATCATTATTTATTTATTATTATTATTCTTTTATTTTAGACTTCATTGCTATTTTTTATTATTTATCATCTTCTTATACTGATGCTTTTCTTTGTATTGCATACTTCCTTCAGCACAATCCAGAGAGCAGGTGGAGAAAACATATTATAATGATCCTTTTTTTATTTGCCATTTGCACAGGTATGAGTTCAGGTACATTTGAGTGTTTTTTTCCCACATGTGCCATCTTGCTCTCCTTTGAGACACACGCACATAATTCTGCTGAAATTGGCTCAAACTGGCGACCTCCTGATTACGGACACAGGGGACGTAACCTGCAGAGCCACACAACCCGCCCTCCATAGCCACGTACGTTACCCGATGCTAACTTATAAACTTGCGATGTACATTTATGACATCACAACAACAGGAAAAAGGACTGCGAGTAGTATGAGCTATACAGATACATCATATCATTACTCCAAGTATTCAAATGCTTTAAAGTATGTTTAGACAGAGTAAGACAGGGGACAGAGCATGACACAATGTTCAAGCATGTAATAAATCAATAAACATTTGGGAAGAGCTCCCTGAAGTGCCTCCAGATTACATGCTATTTCCAGATGGTGCATGGCCTACCCCTTATCCCCGTCGACCTTCTCCTCCTCGGGTGAGACACCACAGTCGCTGTCAGCCCCTGAACATCTCCCTGAAGGGATCACAGACAAACCTGTGGATGCGCAGAAAAGTTAGAAGATAGTTTTGAGGAAGGAATCCAGGGACTTTAAAGGCAGTACTGGAGCATCTGAGCTGACATCCATGTCTGAGCAATTAACAAAGCACTGGAAAGCACCTGCAGTGTCTGTGTAATAGCCATAAGAACTACCTAGGACAAAAGCTATCCATCCATCCATCCATCCATCTGTCTCTCTGCCTGTCTTTCTATCATCCATCCATCCATCAATCAATCTCTCTCCCTGCCTGTCTATCAACCATCCATCCATCCATCCATCAATCTGTCTCTCTGCCTGTCTTTCTATCATCCATCCATCCATCTCTCTGCCTGTCTTTCTATCATCCATCTCTCTGCCTGTATTTCTATCATCCATCCATCCATCCATCCATCAATCTGTCTCTCTGTCTGTCTGTCTATCATCCATCCATCCATCTCTATCTATCCTTGAAATGACAAAGACGAATGCTAACAATACCCAGTGCTAAAGTCAGTGCCCTCACCGCTCACTGAGATGTTGCTTGGGCTGACCAGCATCTCCCCCCCTTCCACGTCTGGTTCCAAGAGAGCAGACTTGATGCTGGGGGACAGTGTGTCAGAGGACATGCCGCCCCCTACTGTTAGTGGGTTGCACTGGTTGTCCACATGATAGAAGCTCCCGGAGTTCTTCAGTTCCTCGAATCTCCTTGCACACTATTGACCATTTAAAAATGAAGTAAAAAAAACAAAAAAACAAAAGCCAATTTGTGACCGCATAATGTTAAATGGCCAGCAGAAAAATAAAACGGTTTCTTTTGGACAGCATCCAATCCAGCAGTTTATTGCAGTGTCGCACTAGGATGAGGACGAGACAGGGGTTTAAACGCGTCGCACGTAATTCACAGCAATGGGAAGGTGGTATGTGGGGAAGTTTACCTCTTTGGGCGTAAATCCCGGTACGAGTCGAGCAACATTCTCCCAGTCAATCGGCTGTGGGACGCTCCAGAGGGAACTCAGGACCATGTCCAAGACGAGGATGTGGTTATCATAGGGGAAATTGTTGTTAACAGAGCAAAAACGACTCATGTCTAAAGGGAGAAAGACAGCAAATATCATAGATTAACATTAACAGTAAGACAAAACGTCTACACAGAAGGCAGAGACTAAAAGAAAACATCAACATGTTTAACAGCTACGAGGGCACATCGTTAGATGTGTCTGACATGGCTTCAGGATAGCTCTCTTTATTAATCGTCATCAGTCCTTTTCAAAACGATCTTCAGAATAATTTCAGGAACATTTATTCAGTGCCTGTCAATCCATTAGGCGACGTAGGCGGCCGCCTAGGGCGCCATCTCCTGAGGTGGCGCTGCATTAGCAAGCCAATTTCACTTTGTCGTCGACGGGAGGGACGTGGGGATGAGTTGCATACAGTAGGTGATACATTTTTTCCATATGTAACATGCCCATAGTTGCTCTCCCATTAATTACCTGCAACGATGTCATTTTATATTGCAGTATGCATACCCAAGCGGAATAGTCACATTTTTGTCACATTTCTTTGCAGTGGTTTATATTTGTTTGATTGAGTTCTGTTTGACCACATAAGACATGTAGTTAACGATTATGCTGCAATATGTTAGCAATCTTCTCTCAAATACCCGCCCAGTCGAGAAAAGTCAACACAGCTTTTTTAACGAAGAGAATTGTGTAACTACCAAACCACGATTATCGATGATTACCTGATCTGACCTTAGCCAGGCATGCTTAAGCGGTTCTACATTATAAATGAATAAAACGCGTCATTTTCTAATTTGATATATGCGTAGGTGCGACATATAAGACAAATAGAAGAAATCCAGAACGTATCTATTAGGATTTTTTTTAAAAACTAGTTTTCCCAAGTCCACCCTTATTCGTTTTGAAAACGCATCCCATAAAACAAAAGGTACAACCACAAAGCCATGTTCCTTGGCTAAAAAAGGCCATTGCCGCAGCACAGTTCAGCATTAGGTTCTAGAAAAACGAAATGTTATACTAAAGAAATTATTGACCAGACACCTTAATTAGCATTGCTATGGATTTACTAACTAAACAAAGCATGCGCGATACGGATTACCATACACATACTTTTCAAACGTAACCGATTTTTGTCTTCATTCAGGAAGTTCCTCTTCTGTGAAATGTTTCATCAAATTAAGCATCATGTTGCGACAAAATTAAACGCGTGAAGGCTTTCAGTGCTACTGAGCACTGAATCTAAAAGAAGAGCATTTGGTGTGCAGACTTATTTTTATTGGCAAACAATTTTTTTCCAGCTTTTTTCCGGTAGGGGGGATTCACCGGCGAGCGTTCAAATGTTCATCACAAGCACTTTTCACTTCTGGTAGAGGAGCTCTCTGCAGCAATTGAAGGACCAGCTATGGCCCACCCCCTTAGATGACTTTATAGTGGGATGATTTGATCGGTTGACGAGCCGTGCAATCAGAACCGGACGTGGGGCGACGGTACGCTCCAGTGACCGAAAAATAGCCACCGTCGCCGAATCAGCGTGTCGTGGGCGGGCAGCCGGCTTGCAGGATCGGCTCGGCACTGTGTTCCCTTCCGGTGCCGCAGTGCAGCAGGTGCAACAAGGCGTCTCCGTTGCTAGGTGACGGCCGAGACCAATTGCAGATGGCCGCCAGGGTGGTGCATGTTTTACAATTTTATTATAGCTATTCTTCGCATTGTAAATCGCTAATTTCATCACAAGCTTTGCTTCAGTGGCAGGCTACCGTGTTCGCATTTTTCTTTGTTGTTTTACAGTGAGATCACGTACGTAGGACGTATTTGTGTCCTTGGGTGCCAGCGCCGCAAAGGTTGTACTGGGAATTAAATGTGGACGCGCATCCATCAGTCACGTCTCTGCAAGTAAGGGTGGGGGTGCTGGTGGTGCGGTCACGCGCCGTTTTTGCGCGCCTCCGGGAGTGACGGCATGCACATTCGCGATAAACCCTTTCAGAATTTCTGTTGCACAAATCAAGTGAAAGCAATCTATCGGAAAACGAATCCATATGTATCTTTTTCGAGGTGCACGTCAGATACGCCCCCTAAAACAGCTTTACTGTAAACGGAAAATATAAGTATACTGTGGAATGAAACGGCCAACGAGTTAACGGAAACATTTCCACACATTCGGAGCATCCACAAATGACATTTGCCTACCTCAAGAATCAGTACGTTTAAGTTCACTTTCGTTATTAATCACACTGCAAATTTTTCTAACATTTTATTGCCATAACCTTCACCCAAAAATGTCTTTCTGAATTTACAATTGGTAAAACGGATATTTCTAAGGTTGATTGTGATGTAGGATACAGAACATACTCACGCACATCCAGAAAACAGCAAATTATTAATACATAAAGGTTGTGGAAATCCAATTTAACTTAAATAAAAGAGTGGTTTCATAAACTAAATGTCAAAACTATAATAGCAACTGGGATCATGGGAAAGATAAGAAAATTATATGTACAAACCCCAATCAGTTTAGTTAATTTAATGAAGAAAAAATATTATTCAAATAATGGACCGTTTTAGAGACCGACAAAACTTGCGTCTCCCACATTAAATATTTTGGTATTGAACCATATACACGTCATTAAAAAAATCATAATTGATACATTCTTCTAACACGACAGACTTCACGCAGTACCACCCTTTGACCTAATAACTTAAAAACCATCCGTCTTCTCTAACCACTTTTCTAGTAACCATAATGCAAGGACTGGTCAAAATAAGTCTCTTTAAAATCCTCGTGCTATGGCTTTGTATGTCAGACCCAACTATGAAATTTGAGAAACAAGTACGTGTTCACACTGTCTACTGACATTCTTTGACTTAAATGAACTTAATTAAATTCAAACGATTAACTCTATATTTTAAGTTCATTTAATGCCAATGACCTCGACTATTACAAAATCGTGTCATTTCCACAAATGATTTTTTTACTTGTTTCCTAACTCACAATGTGACCATTCTCAGCTGACAAATTGTGAAAGGTAATTTAAAGAAAAATAATTTTACGTAAACACCCAGATGAAAACGAGATTAACCAAAAACAAACAGATAGGTGTGAAATGATCCGTCTACTTCAGTTTTTATCAGTTTCCCGTGAATGAGCACATTTTTACCATTTTGGGCTTTTGATCAGAACCCCCTTGCAAGCTCTAAGTGGTACATTCCAGGTTTTTGTTAGAACACTGAAACTGCAGTATAAATTCAGTCACCAAGGTAGCAGATGACCAGAACCATAAGATGCTGAGAGGATGAAAAATTTCAGAGCATATGTGCAGTCAGCCTCTGTTTACATCTATGTGCCTTATTGAAACACTCCCCCTCCCCAAAAACATGAGTGTCATGGGTCGATCCTCTTAGGTACAGTGACTACAGAAGTGTTAGAGGTGGAAGTTGACTGAAATGACCCTTCGTCTGATAGGACGGGCATCTCCCTGTACACAGACTCAAACACCACCTCAGGGTCCCCATGGGTAACAGCAGTATTCATAGACCCTGCTGTTTGGGCTGGTACTGGTGGAGGGTTCTGGAAGGCTTGCTGCTGCCGCCGCTGCTCCTCCGCCCTGCCCTGCTCAGCCTGCCTCCTCCCTCTCCTCCTTCCAAGGATCTTCACGTAGTTGGCGGGGACCAGTCCTGTGGTCTGCCCATCCAGGCTACCCAGGAGCCAGCCCCGGATACGTGGCTGTTGTTCTGTAGAAGTGAAGGTAGAGATGGAAGCAGCTCATATTATTTCCGTTTGTAATATATGTACAGTACTGTGCAGAAGTCTTAGGTGGTCAAAGGAATTATTTAAAGCCATTTATCTATGTAGTAGCTGTATATTTGCTCAGAACAAAAACACTATTTAACATGGAGCATATGCTAATTAAGAGTAACAAAAAAACTAACAAGAATTTCTCCCGTTCTCCCAAAAGTCACTGATTTCTTTCTTGGACGGCTAGATGAACATCTCTTCAGCTGCCAAACCTCTCCTCAGGGGCACCTCAGACATTCCACATATTCATTAAATTTCACCACCAGCACTCTTAATTGCATTACTTACATAGCTTAATGGGGTATTGATTAGCCAAACATGGTATTCTAGTGACGTCAAAAAAATGCACCAATGTGTTGGATGGTTCCTGCAAATGCTATGGTGACTTTAGGTCAGGTTTTGAAATGGCTTAGCTGACATATTTTGATAGACATAATATAGTTTTACACCAACATGTTGGTCAGACTGACATTTTCTTTGACTGCCTAAGACTTGTGTACAGTGCTGTATATACGGTTTATAGTTATTTTTGTTCATCAGATGAAAATTCATTAGTACTGTTATTAAAATCAAATCTACAGTCTGAATAAAGCAAGCTAGAAAGAATTTCATAGTAGATAAAAAAACATTCAAACTGTAAACTGAACAAAAGGCACCAAATAATGACCGTCCAAGGAGACCAGAAGTGGGTAGTTCAGGTCTGGAGAGTAAAAGTCCAGACCAAGATTTTATTTCAACCAACCAGATGAGAACTCCATGACTCTTTATACTCACCTGGTTGGTTTAAACAAGATCTCGGTCTGGACTTTCACTCTCTGGACCTGAATTACCCAACTCTGAATGTACAGTATGTCCAAGGCGCCCCCAACCCCATCACCAGGATCTCTTACCCTTTGGTGCCAGGTTCAGCATATCCCCAGCCTGGACTGAGATCTCCTCCTCAGATGCTGCAGCAAAGTCAAAATCTGCTCTGGCCACCACATGGTCGTCATCTCCGTTGGCCCAGCTAGTGGCTGCAGTGGGATTTAAACCGGCAAACTGGTTTAAAGAGCCTACAAACTGGACCCCTATGGATAACAGCTCTCCCAGTAAAGCTAACTGTACATCTGGCATACAGACCAAAAAGTCAGTTTTCCTCCTCACAAAATGTTAACATTGTCTGACAATTGCTAGGATGTCTGTACAGATGCTCCTCTACTTATGAACTTTCAACATACAAACTTTCAGACATACGAACGAACAGGACTGTAACTCCAAATTGTGTTCATTGGGCTCCCATTTCCTGACTGCAACATCAGTTTTTTTTTCTGCGCGCCAATTCCACCTAGTACGACTTCTGGCCGCTACTCCCGCCGCGCAGCAGCGTAGCGTGCGTACTCCCAGCATCCTAGTTCTTTGTACTTGCGTATACCCTTAAAATGGTGTTGAATGACGACTTACGAACATTTCAAGTTACGAACGGCTGTTCGGAACATATCTTGTTCGTAAGTAGAGGATTTGTATTTATGCTGCAAGGAGGGCAGGGGCAAAATGATAACGTAACGAGATTTTGGTCTGCTGGCCGCACAGTGGGTAGCACTGATGCCTCCTCACTGTGTTTGCAGTTTGCATGCTCTCCCTGTGTTGCACGGGTTTCATTTATGCAAAGGTGTCCCTAAATTATCTAAAGGGTGTGAATGTTTGTGTGAGACCTATGCTGCCTGGGAGAATCTCCATGCCCCCCCCCCCCCCCCCACTGTGACCCCGACCAGGATACGCAGCTAGAAGCTGGATGAATTTTAGTCTGCCCCCTTACCCCACAATCTCTTCCTGCCAGCCCCATCACAATGGTCCTCACCTCTCTCCTCCTCTCCTTCAGCAGACCTCAGAAGCTTCCAGATAAGATAGGGCCCGCCGAGGATGACAGCGAAAAAGAGGAAGATGGGCCATGACTTGACAGAGCCAGTGATGGGATCGTCTGCTGCTGCACCTCCTGCTGCCACAGCGGCAACTGCTGTCCCAGCACTGTCGGTCCACAGATCCTCAACCTCTGAATTGCGCCTCAGGCCCATCATCCTTTGCAGCCTCCGGTAGAGGTAACGCAGGGAGCGGACGAGGGCAAACGCCGAAAGCACTTTTGTGAAGTGCACCCTGAGGCGTGAGAAGTGGTTGGCCACATCCAGAACGGCACGGAAGCTGTTGTACACGGCAGAGAACGTGGCGTCTAGCATCATGCTGACAGACGAGAAGGCGTGCACGATGCTCTCGATGGACTGGAAGGCTCCGCGGCTGCTCTCCTCCGCGTGCTGAACGAAGCGACTTGGGGGGACATCCTCCACGTGGAAGCGGTTGTAGCCCACCCCACCCCCAAGCCCGTACCCCCCATAACCATACGGACTGTAGCCTCCGAAGAGAGAGGACCCATAAGGACTGTACGAGGATGAGTAGGAGCTGTAGGCAGGGCGGTATGTTGACAAGCTGCCTATGCCCGATTGCTGGACTGGTCGTGGGGGAACTGGTGGTGCAACACGGGTCAACACCGGAGGGCCTGGTCTCGACAGCCCAGAAGACCCAAACTCTGTAGATCTGTTTCCAAGACAGAAGGAAGCAGCATGGCTACCATTACAGTGCAATCACCAACTTTCCACAACCAATATAAGCTCTCTCCTAAATAACACTGCTTTTGTTCAGCTGATACATTTAACGTTAAGTTGCATGAAATGCATGTTAACTGGGGTAAGATCAACGGACCAAAACGGTAGAGCGAAGTTTGGAGTCTGACTGGTAAACATAGCTGGACCTTTGACCTCGAAAGTACTGAGCAAGTAGATAGCTTAGAAATTAGACACTTATACGCCTAGCCGATACGTGCTACGTTGGTAGACGATCAACTACGTCTTATTTTAACCGAATAAATAATTTAAGACATTCTTCATAGCATGTCAATGACGATAAAATGCTTTTTGTTCGCGTTGTCCGCGGTGTCTCGAAATTGTTACTGAAGGTTTATCAAGACAAACAACGCTTTCAAAATTAACGGGAGAAGTCAGTCGACAGAAATATGTGTTCAAACTACATTATAGCCCTTGTTTAAGTATGTAAAAAAAAGTTAGGCGCACGTTGTCAGAACAGGCCTAAATCACCCCAGGCAACATATGCAGCTAGCCTGCTAACTCGCGACATAGCTGTCAGCTACACGCAGATGAAGAAAAGGTGTATGTCATAAAAAAATACCGATAGTTAGCGGGAGCTGGGATGGTTCCCGGAATGCGCCTTTCCCACGGTTTCTGGGGAGGCTGCGACGCCATCCTTGAAACCCAAAACACCAACAGATCTTCCGGAAGTGGCCTGGGTAAAGGAGCAGCGGAGACTGCCTTATGTGGCCAGACTAGAGCAATCGATCAAAATCGGCACAGTATAACGCGCAACCCACCGTTTTGTATGTTTGTTTCAGTCGCTCTATTCATTGGGAAGTTTTTGATAATTAATATTCATTATTTATGCTGTAGTTTGTATTTATTAACTGTAAGTGGTTAATGGTTAAATTGTTCAAATTGAAATAAATCCATATTTCGCATATCTGCTACTTATACCTAGTAATGAAAAATGCCAGGTAAATGATATTGGTGGCAATATCTGGATATACTGCCATAAAAACATTATTTTACCCGTCCTTATTGTTCAGATGACGTCCCTCAGGTCATATTTTCTTTAATTATTTTTTCATATAATTTTTTATGAGATGAACTACATTTACATTGCTTTTGTTTATACTTGAACTTTATATGCGTTATATCTGTTGAACAGCAAATAAAAACACGATTTGCCAGCTTAATTTTCCTTAATCTATTTCATTTGTTACGCTGAGATCTTACATGGCAGATACCGATACAAAATTACTCAGCGTAATTTTATCCTTGGCCAGAAGGGGTCACCTTCACACTAATTTTTAGAATTTAGTGATCAGTGTTCAGTGTTCACACACCACAACGAAATGTGGTCTCTGCATTTAACCCATACGTGACGTAGTGACATAGCAGGGGGCAGCTAATTCAGCGCCCAGGGAGCAGTACTTTGCTCGGGGTACCTCAGTGGTGTTTTGCTGGTCGGGGGTTCGAACCTAAAATCAATTAAATTAATTAAAATTACAATTAAAATTACAAGTACGCTTTCCTAACCATTAAATGGTACCTGAGCTCTATTATTATGTCAACTACTCCGACTTGGTATAGAAATATAATGTGTGTTTTCAGATTAGCAGTTTTACGGAACTTGGTTAATGACTGCTTTTATAACTGTAACATAAGCAATCTATAAGGCAAATAAAGCAACAGTATTTCCAGGTTTCTATTTTACGCGTTGATGCGTTTTATACTGTGCTTGTAGCTTCTGATTTTCATTCGGATGAGGTGTTTGTGTGAAATGGCTTGCTGTTGTTAAAGGGAAAAATAATATATATATATATATATATATATATATCAGATGATCCGTGCCACCCAGGCAAGCATTAATTTTTTTTGAAAAAAAAAGAAAAAAAAGAAACTGCCATTGTTCAAGTTCCCCTTTGTCTCAGGCGACGAAAAGCAGAAGTGAAGCATGGGATTGCTGTCTGGCTATAGGGAGAGAACTTAATCAGTGGCTGTGGCAATGAGGAAGAACTCGTAGTTCCACATGAGCGCCCTACCTCCTCCTCACATGTACGGAGGTTTATAGGTGTGACGTAAGCACATGGGTGGCCGCGGTCCAGGCACCAGTCGCACCGTGACCTTTTTTTAAAAAAAAATTTTTTAACCGCCCACCCTAACCCATTTATATACCCGAGTCCCTGATGTCCATCACCCCACCTACAACCTCCTATCCCCATGTTCACGAAGTGCTCAAGTGGAAAAAATGAGAAAGTCGAGCTTTGTCCAGAGCCGTCCTGCACCATGCTGCTCAGCCATCTCACCCAAGTCAAAGGTTAGAAAGAGAAGATGGTCTCGTCGGAAGAGGATAGACGGTCTTTTTATACACCGTCCTTCGCCTTCTTAGTACGCTTGTGCGCCAGCTCGCCAGCTACTCTCTTCCTCTTTATTTTTTTTTTTTGCTTTTCAGTTTCTTAAAAAGGAAGTGAGGTATGCAACTGTGCTACTGAACAATCACACGCTCTTTCAGGAAGGGAAACCAGATGCATCTGAACTCTGAGCTGTTTATCAAAGAGACAAAACTTAATGGTCTGGTGAACCTCGATTTGATTGTGTGTTTCAAAATGAACCCAGATTCCCCTTAATTTGTAAACCCTGTATGATTGTGAAGTAAGGTTGAATAGACCTACATGTTGTCTTGGCTGACCAGAGTGAACTACGACAAGAAGGATGCTGGGACTTACATACGCAAGCAAAACGAAGCCAGTTTAAAGGCACCTGTGTGTGCTTGTTGTATGTCTATGACACACACAGCCAGGGGGCGCCGCTAAAGATTTTAGACTCCATGAAAGTATGTCATATTGGGCCCCCAACCCAGAACAATCCAATTATAATTAATCAGTGTGAGAACTCTATAGGGTGGGGTAAATATGTGTCAGGTCTGGAAATTCCCTTATTTATCAGATCAAAAACTGGCACAAATACAATAAATCAATAATCTCCCTGAATGTCACATGTGTATAACTGTCATCAAGGACTGTTGAGTTATTTTAATGTTTGACGAATGCTAACATGTTAAGAAGCATCCATCCAATTGTTTTATTCCATCGTTTATGATTCTTCTTCATGATTTAAAGTCCTACAGCGGTCCACATTAATGTGTCTGACTGAACAACTAATAAAAAGATGTAAGAAATATGTTTGGGGTCTGAGATATAATGTAAATGACACGAAACTAATCTATTCAATATGAACAAACGCAATGGTAACACGTGGGAAGAAAAAGATATTTTTAATAATGGAATGAGAATAGCCTTTAAGCACACCGTTTGTATTGCATGCTAATAGAGTATCAAGAAGTCAGTGTCTGATGAGCTAAAAGACTTGTTGAGCCTGGGATGATGAACAGAGGTACAATTAAATGTGGGCTTCATATGGGCAGAATTAATGTCATTTGGCTTCAGCCAGATGGAGATGGACCTTGGGGCTTGAGAATGGCTGTAACGGAGTCTGAGTGTTCTCCTGGGGGCAGGAGAAAGCAGAAACCAATTTCCATTTAGCTAAAATAAGGCAAAAATCATCAAAAGTGAACAACCAACACCCAACATTAGGAGACTTGTCATTAAAACCAACCCTGCTAATTGAAACCATAAACCACTTTCGTTTTTTTTGCGTGACAAATGGCAGTACTGCAGCCCCGACACTCCAAGGTGCTGTTAGCACAAGCTGCTACAAGCGCATGTAAGGGAATGCTTTGGTGCATCAGGCGCTGCTCAGGACCTCATGCAGGGAAACAATGTGACACGTTCACTGCGCTGACCTTAATCACTGCTGCCCATTTCGGACCTCTTAATAGTGAAACACAGAGCTCTGCTGTACATATGAAAGAATGCAATGGGGAAACGGCGTGCATTTTTTTTTCCATGTTTATGATACTCAGAAATTGAAGTGTGACTTATAAAGAGATATGCAAAAGAAAGAGCTCTGGAAAATATAGAACTAGTTAAGCACCCGAAATCTCTAGTGTCTTTAATAAAGTGAAACCTGTACTGGTGGCAGCATGAAATGGACAAATTCTAATCACATGAAAGACACATGGAGTTAGATCTGTTCAGCTTGGCTGTGGCTGATGAGTATCCTGGGATTAGCTCTTTGATAAGAGCAAGCTAGATTTTTATGATGCTTTAGTTTGTTTAGTGATTACTCATTCTGATTGGCCAGAGGCTTCATTCCTGGCTCACAGGTGAAGGAAGGCTGGAAAATCAGCAGGGCTCGGACCTTGATTTGAATAGCCCTGGTATATGGCATGAAGATGAGTTGCCCCTCTACTCATGAAATCATACATCTGGGAGCTAGAACCGTACTTAAGAAATGCAATGTAAACCAGTATCACCCAAGAGAGAATTTAATAAGAGCAAAGTCTTAAGTGCAACATACCCAAACTGGCAAGCTTCATTAGTCATTCACACAGGTGCATATAGGTGCGTTGGAGGGGAATGGGTACCTTGGTAGATTCAGGGGACCCAGCCCTTGAATATTTAAGATTGGATGGGGGGTTTAACATGACATGTTGTTAGATTATAGATATGCCCCTGGGTGGATAGGAACTTCTTAGTTTTCACATATGTAATCTTGCTCTCCTTAGAGACATATACAGGCATATATAGCTGTGGAAAAAATTGAGACCACTCCATATTTAAAAAAAAAATAAATCTGCTTTTTTAAATCCTGGTTCTGCTAGCAGAAGGCTAGACTGCGAGACAGGCAGCCTCAAGATTCAAAGTTTCTAAGTCAGCAATACACAAGAACAAAGTGAATCAGGAGACACTGACGATGACCAACAACCAGTCAGGTAGCGGACAGAAGCAACTTTCTAATGCCAAAGATGACCGTCAACTTATCCAGCAGTGCCTCATAAATTGGAGGATGACCTCAAGTGACCTTAAAAAAGAATGGGAAACATTAAGTGATGTGAGGTGCACTGCTAGGACAGTTCATATCAGGCTCCTAGAAGCAGGACTGAAGTTCTATAAAGCAGGGAAGAAGCCCTTCATCAATGAGAAGCAGGGGAGAGCCATGCACATAGCCATAGAGAAATGAGTGACACTGAAAATTTTGCTGTGGCCTTTTAATTTGTTTCCTGAGCTGTATATAAACACTATATAGAGAAACGTATTGGGACTCCTAGTATCCTACAGGAACTTTTATCACATCCTATTCTAAATCCATAGTCATCAATATGCAGTTGGTCTCCCCTTTGCAGCTATAACAGCTGCCACTCTTCTAGGAAGGCTTTCTACAACATTTTAGAGTGTGTCTGTGGAAATTTTCACCCTTTCATTGAGAACACTTGTGAGGTCAGGCACTGATGTTGAATATGAAGGTCTGGCTTGCAATCACCATTCAAGTTCATCCCAAAGGTGTTGAGGTCAGGGCTCAGTGTGGGCCAGTCAAGTTCTTCCACACCAAACTCACCCAACCATGTCTTTATGGACTTTGTTCTGTGCACTGGGGCACAGTCATGCTGGAACTGGAAAGAGCCTTCCCCAAACTGTTCTCGCAAAGTTGAAAACAGAATTTTCCAAAATGTCTTGGTGTGCTGAAGCATTAAGAGTTTCCTTCACCTGCAAAACAACCCCATACCATTAATCCTCCTCCACTAAACTCTACAGTTGGCACAATGCAGTCAGGCAGGTAATGTTCTCCTGGCATCTGCCAAACCCAGACTCATCCATTAGACTGTCTGACAGAGAAGTGTGATTT